TCTAATCAACACAAAAAAGCTACACAAGAAAAAGAAACCATCTACCGTGTCTGCATAAGGTGTCCTGAAAGTACCCGAAGGGTATCTGCAGTCTTCATCCCCGACTCCTGGTTTGGTGCCACTACTATTTCCTCAGACAGCTTTGGCTTCTTCAGAATAAATGATCTTGTGTCTGCATGGACCATGGATTCCATGTCATAGTAATCTGAGCCAAAAAAATTGGCCATAAATGTTTACTTTTGAATATACCTTGCATTCCCAACATCACACAAGTGAGAAGAATGTCAATCTTTTATATATTTGTAATTATTTTAAAGGAAAATCACAACGGTTCTACCCCAGAATAGTGCTGCAATTCTGTGCCAAACATTTTTTTAAGGAAGTATTCCTCTCCTCATAACAACACATTACCTGGGACTTTGAATGAATACATCCTGCCTACAGGACAGAAAGGTTCTTATACGAGGCATCTAATGAGATATGAATATAAACTTACTCTAAGCACAGTATTTTCTAAAAATACATAGAAGAATCCTCACGTTCCCTAGAATTATGACACAAAGACTACTTAAAAGTCTAGAATCTGTTTTGTTCATTTTGCATGGTACCACTTACAGAGAACACATCCTGATGAAAAGAATTCACCTGGCATAATTTCTGCCTGGTTGTACAGAGAAGACTATATTGAAAAGGAATTTTAAGATGAAGGGGCACTTAAAAAAAAATACAGCACAGAAAACACTGACCGGCAACGCTAATAACCAGAGTTCACATCATCTACAATATGCTTATTAAGCCTGACTACTTTATAAAATACGCTACAAGCACAGAGATGGCTGATCTATCAATATGCCATCAAGTGACGAAAGTTAATGAGCTGCACTTAAGGTTAACAGGCAAATAACAGAGAACAAAATCCACACCATTCAACCAAACACTGTGCTAAGTACACAAAGAAGATAGAAAAACAGATGTACATAAAATTTCAGAATAGCATATCCTAAAAGCTGATCCAAAAGGAGTGGGAATAAAGCGTTGGGAGAATACAACCAACCTATTCCAGCTGGGGAATCAAGACAAAACCTACAGATGACGGACATTTGAAGCAGATAATAAAGGAACGAGCGGGAATAACCCGGGGGGAGAGACTTGGACAATAAACAGAACATGTCCGGCAGAGGAAACCACATGAAAAAAGGCAGAGGCTTTCATAAGACACAAGGAATCTAAGACCCGCTGAGAAATGTGGTGTGGCTGGAAGGGGTGTGTGTACCGGGCTGAGCGGCAGGGAAGGCAGAGGCCTGAAGGATCTTGTATGTGTCAATGAGTTTGGATTCTGATCTAGAAGTCATAAAGAATCATGAGAGGTTTCTAGGTAGGGAAGTGACATGATCAAACTAGTTTTCAGAAAAACAGGTAGTACTAAGAATGGACTGGAGTCCTAGATCTCAGCTACCAGGTTGTTGCGCCCAGAAGAGACGGTGAGGCTCTGAATGAATGAAAAGATTCTCACCCTTTGTCCTATTTGAACCCATAAAAGAGGGAGAGGAGACCCTTTCCACACCATCAGCACCGGCCCTTCACAGAAGCTGCACCCGCAACTCCCATGCTGGGAACCAAGCAGAGCCGTCCTCCCTGCAAGGGTGGTGGAGGGTGGAGAGAGATGCAGATTGGAGGTGAGTGAAGGAGAAACCGGACCCAAGAGAACAAGGACAGGACAAAGAGCATACTGAAAGGGGAGCGAAGATAAATGTCAATTTCAGATTTATTTAGTTTGAAGTCTTTGTGGGGCTCTCAGTTTCGAAGTTGAAATAAGAGGAGAGAGAAGAGAAACAGCATCCAAACTAAAGGTGAACTAAGCGTTTCATTAACAAAGTGTCACAGTCAGTGCCGCCATCCCCACTGCACCCTCACAGGGAGTGGAAGGAGCGGATTTCCCTCCCTCCCATGTCACGGAGACCAGCATGCCCTCTGCTGCTCTTCAATGGCACGAGAGGTGCCCAGCTGGCAAAGGCAGAGTACAGAACTCAGTCCGAGGCTGCCGCCTGCTTCTCACCACCCTGCACTTGGCAAAGTAGCTCTAACAGTTTGCATCTTGGAAGAAGAGAGAAGAGATGAAGATAATGCTCAGGGCAGGACACAGGAAAAAGTTAACATTTTAAGGGGCGGGACAGGAGGAGAGGAGATGAGAACGGAGAATGAAATGGAATCAGTAGAAGAACAGAGATGGTGAAGTCCTGGAAGCCAAATGATCAAAGACCAAAGGAAACACTGGAGATGACATGTCACATATGACAGGGTTTAGAAAAGTGGGCACTGAAAACTGAGCTTTCCGTCCTCCAAGCGTCACCAACCTCCTCTGCAAGGTTAACATTACCACCTGGGTCAAGCAGACAGACACGAGTTAGGGACATCTTCTGTGAAGACCATAGGCTGAACCCATGCATTTTGTTTCCTCCTAAAATCCCAATGAAATGTCAATAAAGGGTTAGATTATTAAAACATAAAGTCACAAAGAAAATAACTATAAAAGGAGCGACAACCACATTTTGCAAGTCAAAAGCTAAGACCTGCAAAAGCTGAGTCTTAAGCCAGTAATGAGACATTCCAATGTGGATCCCAAGATTCTCCAAAGGCTGAGAAGCCGGTAGCACAGGGACTCTGGGAAGGGGTGGGGAGAAAGACAAGGCAAATACAGGTATGTTTAAGTGTCTATTTCAGAAGCAGTTATTTCTTCCTAAACTATAAATCTGTTCTGTCATTTCTGACCCTTACCACACCTGTTGCCCTAAACTGAAGTTTTCTGGACTCACTGGAGACGTGCTTTCTCACTGGCCAGTATCAGAGAGGCCTATAAATGCAGCATCGTGGTCTTTGACAGAATGGTGCTACAACAACAACTAAACGTACAGTACTGAAATTTTAAAAAGCAGTTAGATTTCTTGATAACCTTGACTATTTTCTCCCTTGGAGACAGGCAGAACTTAAGACTCTTGGAAAGGCCAAACCAGAGGGTCTCTAGACCAAGAGATGCCGGCATGTTGAAAGAAACACCATTCTGAAAACAGGGAGGAGGTGTGAGCAAACATTACATAGTAATTAACGTTGAGGTACCTCCCCTAGCCTCTTTTCCTCACTTCGCTTCCAGAACACTGGCACCCAATCCACTATTCTGAGAGATCTTTCTGTGGAGAAGCTCACCAATCTAAGAGGAAAGGCCTAAAAACAGCGACATCAGGGCATCCCAAACTAAAGAGACAAAACAAACGAGTCTCCACTGCAGGATCTATATTCAAATGTGAAGTCACAAGCTCTCCATCCTAACTAATGAACCCAGAATGCCTATCAGCTTTTTGAGTGTCCCACTCATAAATATAAGACAACCAAGGATCCCCAGACATCTGTGGAAAACCTGTCATGAAAGACAGCAGTCAAAACAAACAACCTGGAGAAAATAAGACCAAGAAGGGAGGGGAGAAAATACCCAAAATTATCTTTAATATCCTCAAGGAAATAAAAGAAACTGTTGCATACATGAAACAAAGTCAGTATATGAAAAATAAATAAGAGGAATATGCAGAAACAAGAGGGCTCCCAGAAATAAAAACCACGACAGGAGATAAGCAAAGGCTATAGTCCTTGTAAGACTAGATGCTTCAAACTGTATGTGCACCATGGAGAAAAGGAAAAATTAAAGAAAACAAAAAGAATGCGGAAATGTCAGTGAAGTGGATACAACACACACAGAGCTTAGCTGCCAAATATTTTGAAAGAAAATACCCTTACGTGGAAAACAGGATGGAATGTTGAGAGATGACAGCAACATCAAGGATGGGGAGTATTTAAACACTTTCACAGGCAAAAAGGAGAAGCCACGAGAGGGGCAGGATTAAGATTATAGGAGTATGGGGACACTAGTGTTCATCGACTGGGTAGGATCTAGCATCTGGGTGGAAGGGGACCCTGAAAGAAGACAAGTTCTTCTTGCTGAGACAGAGGTAGGTGGGGTAAGGAAATATACCTACTGACTGTGGAAGCCTGAGCAAGGGGGAAGAAGCAAGAGCCACAGGGAGGGGTCAAGGCACCACCAGAGCTTCCAACAACGGGCAGGTTTGGGGAAATAAAAGGAAGCAGGAGAAAAGAAGGTTTCTGAATTTAAGGCTGCAGGTGACCAATGGCCCCTCTGTTACTCAGTGGACATTTACTAGGGTCTGCACATGCATCTGGCGGGGCGGGCACTGAGAACATAGATAAGAAAGGCACTAGTCCCTGTCCTAAAGCAGACCGTGGCATGTCTGTCTGTTTGTGGGGGGTGGAGGAGACAGGCAAACAATGAAGTTACAGTGGCTCTAAGAACAACAAATTCCAAGTGTGGCCCTGGTGAGGCAATTCTAAAGTGAAGTGGAAATGAGGATAAGGCAGAACAGGCTAAGGAACATAAAAGCAGCTCAAGACAATGGCAAAGCAGGGCAGAAAGGAAAGAAGGTTAGGGATTCAAACTGTCCCTGGAGCAGGAAGTGACTGCCAGCAGATTCCAGGGACTCAGGTGAAACGACATCAAAGCAAGAAAGATTCTGAATGACGAAACATACGAACACCATATAACATGAAGAAAATGCAGATCTTGTCTCCTGGCCCTAAAATATTTTCACAGATCTAAATATAGCATCTTAGGGCAGGATCTAAGATATACAGAATACATTAAATGAGGTGTAAGAAATGGAAATAGCAACTGAAAAATGCTAGATTACGATGAAAATTTAAGATGATTACCAACCTTGACTGATCTGCAGAGTTTCTGCCATTACTGGGTCGATTTGTAGTCGGGATAACAACTGCCTCTGTGGAGCTCCTAGGATACAAATTTTCAAACTTTAGTAAGTTTTAAAAACAAACAATACATGTATATTTCCAGAAATGAAGCCTAAAATAATCTTACTAGGTTCTTAAAGTCTTTAAAAAAAAAAAAACAACAAACTTATAGCTTCAACATTGCAATTTAATAATATTTATAGACCAAATTCCTTGTTGTTCTTTTGTCTGGAAGCCAGTTTTCTTGGACCAGAGGTAAAGCCTCAGAATAAAGGTAAAAGGCTGGAAAAGCCAGGAGGTGGTACTGTGTAGACGCACAGCTTGAGCCATAGTTGACAGGCGACAGCCAACTGCAAGATCAAAATAAGAAACATCTCCCTCCATCACCTGGGCTCTCACCATTACAACCCGCTCCCCCACCCCTGGAACTGCAAACCAAAACACAGCAGAGTTATCTGATCGTTTCCAAAAGACAAACTATAAGCATGGACTGAGATGAGGAGAACAATGAGCAAGTATGACGTTCAGAGGTCTGGAGCCCAGATCCTACAGCAGCATGAAATCTCCTGTGAGAATTCTTAGCTGGATTACTTAGCTGGAGTATTATTTCGTAAATGGGTTCATAATCTCCTCACAGTTACACTTCAAAGATAGGATGGAAAGAAGTCACACTTCTCCAAACTGCCCCCCGCCACCATAGTGCTTAGGAGGTTATCAGGCGCACACCTGATCTAAAACCAAAGTGTATCGATAACGCATTAACATAATTATTCACCATGAGCAAGTGGCATTTATTCCAGGAATGCAACGATGGTTCAATGTCCACAATCAATCAACATGCCACACCACAGTAACAAAACAAAGATTAAGAATCTTATGATTATCTCAAGAGGTGCAGGAATAGCATCTGACAAAATCTGACATCCATTTATGATAAAAACTCAACCAGGGGCACGTGGCTGGCTCAGTCTGTTGAGCGTCTGACTCTTGATTTTGGGTTGTGGGATCTAGCCCCACGTTGTACTCCACACTGAGCATGAAGCCTGTTTAAAATTCTCTCTCTCTCCCCTCTGCCCCTCTCCCTGGCTTGTGTGTGCTCTACAATAAAAAAATAAAATAAACAAACCTTCTCAGCCAAACGGATAGAGAGGGTTCCTCAACATAATAAAGGACAAATTCACAGCTAATATCCTAAAGTGAAAAGCTACAAGCTTTTCCTCTGAGATGAGGAATAAGCAAGGATGTTCACTCTTGCCACCTCTATTTAACATAGTACAGGAAGTCCTAGCCATAGCCATGAGATAAAAAAAAAAAAAAAAAAAAAAAAAAAAAAAAAAAAAAAAAAAAAAAAAAAAAAAAGGAAAAAAGGCACCCACACTGGGAAGGAACAGGTGATTAATATACAAAACACTAAAGACTCAACCAAAAAACTATTAGAATAAATGAATTCTGTAAAGTTGCAAGATATAAAATATACAGAAATCTGTTTCTATTCACTAGTAACAAAGTAGCAGAATGAGAAATTGAGAAAACAATCCCACTTACAACTGCACCAAAGAGAATAAAATATTGAGGAATAAATTTAATCAAGGAGGTAAAAAACCTATATTCAGAAAACTGTCGAATGAAAAGAAAATGAAGATGATACAAATAAATGGAAAGATACAACATGCTCATGGATTGGAAGAAATAACAGTGCTAAAATGTGCAAAGTACCCCATTAATCTATGATAAAAAAAGGCAAGAATCTACAGCAGGAAAAAGAGTCTCTTCAATAAATGGTATTTAGAAAATGGGCAACTACATGAGAATAAAAGGAACTGGACCACTTTCTTCCAGTAATGCAAAAATAAATTTGAAATAAACTAAACATCTAAATATAAGACCTGAAATCATTAAAAAAAAGGGGGGGGCAGTAAAATCTTGGGTATCACTCTCAGCAGTATTTCTTTAGATTTGTCTCCTTAGGCAAGGGCAACAAAAGGAAAACAACTGGGACTCCATCAAACTAAAAAGCTTCTGCATAGTAACAAAAAGGCAGGGCACCTGGGTGGCTCAGTCCATTAAGGGTCCCAACTCTTGATTTCAACTCAGGTCATGATCTCATCGTTCGTGGGTTCAAGCCCTGCACTGGACTCCACGTCAGCGGCATGGAGGCTGCTTGGGATTCTCTTTCTCTGCCCTTCCCCTGTTTGCTTGAGTGCATTCTCACTTGCTCTCAAAATAAACTTAAAAAAAATAAATAAAACAATGCTTCTTACTGAATGGAGATATTTGCAAATGACCTATTAAGGAATTAATATCCAAAATATATAAAGAATTCATAAAACACCAAAAAAACCCAATCTGATTTTTTAAAACAAGGGCAGAGGAGGGGTTGCCTGGGTGGCTCAGTCAGTTAAGTGTCCAACTCTTGATCTCAGCTCAGGTCATCATCTCATGGTTCATCAGACTGAGCATGGTATGGCTCCATGCTATAAGCGTGCAGCCTGCTTGGGATTCTCTCTCTTCCACTCTCGTGCACGCCTTGCACTCTCTCAAAATAAATACATGAACATCAAAAAAAAAAAAAACAAAAAAAAACACCCAAATCTTTAAGAAAAAAAAGTGAGCACAGGAGCTGAATCAGATATTTTTTAAAGACACAGAGATAGGCAACAAATGGAAGATGTTCCAACATCTAAACCAAAATGAGATACCACCTCACACCTGTCAGAATGACTAGTATCCACAAGGCAAGAAATAACAAGTCTTGGCAAGGATGTAGAGAAAAGGGAATGTTCACATACTGCTGGTGGGAATGGAAGTTGGTGCAGCCACTGTGAAAAACAGTAATTAAAAATTAAAATTAAAACTACAAATACCAACGGTACCCAGGTGGCTCAGTTGGTTAAACATCCAACTCTTGATCTCAGCTCAGGTCATGATCTCACAGTTCATGAGACTGAGCCCCACATAGGGCTCTACACTGACAGCAGGGAGTCTGCTTGGGATTCTCAGTCTCCCTCTCTCTGCCCCTCCCCTGCACACAAATGCTCTCTCTCAAAATAAATCCATAAAGTTCAAAAAAAAAAATTTCTTAAATATAGAAATACATACGGTACACTAGATACCATAGGATCCAGTTAATTCCACTTCTGGGTATCTGCCCCAAGAAAATGAAAACACTAATTTGCAAAAATATATGCACCCTTATGTTCACTGCATTACTTACAAGAACCAAAACATGCAAGCAATCTCAGTGTCCACAGACAGATGAATGGATAATGATGTGATACACACACACACACACACACACACTCAGGAACATTACTCCGCCATAAAAAAGAATGGTATCTTGCCATTTGCAACAGATGGACGGTACTAAGTAAAGTAAGAGAAAAACAAGTACCATATGATTTCCACTTATATGTAGAATCTAAAAAACAGTATTAATGAACACAAGACAGAAACAGACTCACAGATACAGAGAACTAGTGGTTGCAGTAGGGGAAGAACAAATAGGTAAAGAGGATTAAGAGGTTCAAACTTCCAGTTATAGTCAGAGATGGTACTACAAATCATGGTGACAATTTCATAATGTATGTAAATGTCAAATCACTATGCACACCTGAAACTAATACTGCACTGTCAACTACACTTCACTTAAACTTCAAAAAAGTAAAACAAAAGTGGTACAGTACAGTGTAGAAAGGGATGTGATTGACAGAGTTCCAAATACTAAAATATAGTAAGATGACTGTTACTACTTTTTAGTGTATGTATTACTAGTAGTTTCATAAGGACAAACTTTGCTTACTCAGTACATGCACATAAGTTGGCAACTGCCTGCCAACTACCATGTTTCGCTAAAAGGGGTTTTTCATTTTAAAAACTATATATACTCCATTCAAAATTCTATCAGCTATTTTCTTTTAAAATAGAAGTTAACATAATACTCTTTAGTGGTATGCCAAAAAGAATTCCTTCCAAAATTATCATAGCAAAAACACAGCAAATCCTGGTAAGCTGACCTCAAATACAGATGTCATTTGGTCAAGTTGTACTCTGTAGGACAGCTTGGGAAACTGATAAATATTAGGGTTATAGGAAGCTCTTCCAATTGTAGTATTACTACAGGTCCCTTTAACACAATGAACAATGAAAGAATTACACGTTTTAAGAGATTTCACAAGACAGATACAGGAAAGAGGACTATTCTCTCACATTTCAAGTTTTGTTTCTCTATGTTCATCTCTCTTGAAAACATTTTACAGAGATCCACTAAAGAGAATACTGGTAACTTCCAGGCTTCTAAATTAATCATACAGACTCCAACTTTGCTGTTTAAAGGTCTGTGAAGTTCAAGTTTTGTGACTTGCTGCCTCTATATATAGACAACTAGTGAGTTGTCTCAAAGGTTATCTATAAGATATCACATACTAAAAATTTACCTTTTTCAATGTTTCTAAGGAAACCAATTATTTTTACATCAGTAGTCCTTGACTGTGATTCAAAATCTACTTCCTCTTGAAGATCTTCAAACTGTTTATTGCATTCAGATGTTGATGTTGAGCATTCATTCATTTTAACCTCCAAAGATGAGATTTTTGCTTCATTCTGTGACACTCTAACATTTAAATCAGAAAGATTTGCTTCCACTGTCAAAACTGCTGCTTTCATTCCTTTAATTTCACTGATATCAGTTGATATTTTCCTTAAAAGATGGGAAATATTGTCTAGCTCATTCAGTGAACAAGAGGAACTTGTTACAGAACCTAAGTCAATTGGCCCAGGTGAGAAGAAAATCGGTAAAGATGGTGATGGAAACCTTGAAGACATTTTCATAAAATTCTCTCTCCCTCTTAATATTTGGCAATTTTTCCTTCACAGCCCATTATATTGTTTCATAAAAATAAAAAGTGATTAAGGCTGTTATTAAAAAGTATTAAGAGTGAATAACATCTTAAAACCTACAACTAAAAAGATAGGATTGTACATTTCTGGAGTCAGAACTCAAAAGTAAACTTGAAAATGCTAAACAAACCAGACCAATGTTCT